AAAGCAATGTGTTGAAGAGATATTTGCATACCCATATTCGTAGCAGCACTATTCAACATGGCCAAAAGGTGGAAGTAACTCAATGTCCATCCATAGATGAACGGATAAACAAAAGATGGTACATACATACAATGGAATATAATTCAGCCTTAAAAAGCAGGAAATTCTATCACTTGCTGCAACATGGTAAACCTTGAGGACACTATGCACAGTGAAATAAGGCAGTCACAAAAGAACAAAGACCATATGATTCCACTTATATGACGTATCTACAGTAGTCAAATTCATAGAAACAGAAAGTAGAATGGTGGTTGCCAGGGGCTGAGAGGAGGGGGGGGGAAATGGAGAGCTGTTGCTTAATGGATGTAGCAACGGTTAATGGTTTTTCAAGATGAAAAATTTCTAGAGATTTTCACAACAGTGTGAATGTACTCAACACTACTGAACTGTACATTTAAAATGGTTAAGACAGTAAATTTTATGTGACATGTTTTGATCTCAATAAAAAATATCTGGTAAATATCTGCATATAGTTAAATAAATGTTAAGTGCCAAAAACAATAATACTAACTCTTTGTGTCAGGAAGCTTGAACAAAAATACAAAACAATAGCATATAGGATGAAGATAACGTGGGCCGGCCGGGTGGCATAGTGGTCAAGTTTGTGCACTCTCCATCAGGGTCCCCGGGCGCAGACCTACACACTGCTCATCAAGCCATGCTGTGGTGCTATCCCACATACAAAACAGAGGAAGATTGGCAGAGATGTTAGCTCAATAACAATCTTCCTCAAGCAAAAAGAGGAAGATTGGCGGCTGGCCCAGTGGCACAGTGGTTAAGTTCATGCTCCCCACTTCAGGGGCCAGGGATTTGCTGGCTCGGATCCTGGGCTTGGACTTATGCACTGCTTGTCAAGCCATGCTGTGGCAGGCATTCCACATATAAAGTAGAGGAACATGGGCATGGATGTTAGCTCAGGAGGAGTCTTCCTCAGTAAAAAGAGGAAGATTGGCAGCGGATGTTAGCTCGGGGCTAATCTTCCTCAAAAAAAAAAAAAAAGAAGAGGAAGATTGGCAATGGATGTTATAGCTCAGGGCCAATCTTCCTCACCAAAAGAAAAAAGATGAAGATAATATGAATTCGAATCTTTTTTTAGATCTTTTCAAGGTTTAGGAGGAGGATAAAGATACTAATTAAATATGACTATTAAGAAAGCAGGCTGGTAGAGGAGCTAGCCTGGTGGTGTAGTGGTTAAGTTTGCATGCTCTGCTTCAGCAGCCCAAAGTTTTCCAGTTTGGATCCCAGGTACAGACCTACACACCACTTATCAAGTCATGCTGTGACAGACATTCCACATTCAAAACAGAGGAAGATAGGCACGAATGTTAGCTAACGAATGTTAACTCAGAGCCAATCTTCCTCAAAAAAAAAAAAAAGAAAGAAAGTAGGCTGGTAGAAAAAGATTACCAAATAATAGACTACACATTTAAAACTTTCACACCAGTAGAGAGATGGAAAATAAGAAGGCAAAAGGTAGAACAAAGTGGGATATAGAGACTACAAATAAGAAGTAAAAATACATCAGTAATCACAATAAATGTAAATGCAATAAGCACTCTAGTTAAAGACAAAATTTGCCATCATGGATTGAACAAAAAAGACAAAGTATTTGTTGTTTAAAATGGACATGCCTGAGATAGAAAATTACAGAATCATTGAATGTCTAAAGCAAGACGAAGACATACCAGGCAAAAATATTAAGCAAAAGAAAATGTAGCTTTATTGATATTAGAAGAAATAGAGTGTTAACCTAAACCATGACTAGCGATGAGGAGATTCATTCTATGATAATATAGCGTAAAAATATATTTTAAAAGTGTAAAGAGAAATTAACAAATCTACCAATAGTGACAAATATTAACAAGTTTTTTCTGACTATTTTATAGATGATGCATTTAAAAACAAAAATACAGAGAATATATAAACAGCACAATTAAAAAGACTAACGTCTATATAGAGAACTTTGCACCCAATCATTGGCCACTTCCAAGATCATATTGCCAGCCTCAAGCTATTTCAAAAATTGACATGATATAGCCTATAGTCTCTCACCAAAAAGTGACTCAAGGAGAAATTAATAATTAAAGGAAGATTGGAAAAACAACATATGTTTGCAAATAAGAAAACACATGTTACTAAAAAGCATGTGGGTTGAAAAGAAATAAAACCATAGAAGATAATTAGATAATTAGAATTGAAAAATAACAAAAATGCTATATGTCAAGCTGGTGAAATTCAGATTTAGCAGCTCTTAGAAGAAAATTTATAGTCTTAAATATTTGTAGTGGACAAGAAAAGATGCTTTAAATTAATGAGTTACGCTTCCAACTGAAAAAGCAGAAAGTAAGAGCAGGTTGAACTCAAATGCTAAAAAAGAAAAAATAATAAACACACGAGAAAGAAAGGTGAGTTAATATTGTTCTTGGCCACTTAATACAATTTATTTGCTCATCATACATAATATTAAGAAAAATAAGAGAAAAGATGATAGATTTCTTGATTTCTTCCTATTTGCAACATTTTAGAAAATACAGTTTTATTGGTAATCAAACATACAAGAAAAGTGAATTAACTTTGGATACTAATAGTATGGGTAAAAGGATAAAAGATCAAGGATAGGATAAAGGCAACATTTTTTTTTCAGATACTATCTTGCTCTTAGGAGCTATTTTAATTTGATTAATCTTGTTTGAAAATTTTTCCTATTCTATAATATTTTCTTTTCAAAAATGTGCATAGTTTTAAACTTGCTCTGAAGTTTTATCATCTTTTATATTTTGTTCTTCAGTACCTCTTTAAGAATGATTTTCATAATATATTTTCAGAGACTTATTTGAAGAATCAAAACAAAAATTAATCAAAACCTATAATTACATTACAATATAGACTTATAATTCTTAAATTAAAAATAACTACATAAAGAATTACATATGCATTCACGTATTCCAAGTCAGTTGTAACTTTTTATGTATAAAATCTATTTAAGTTACACAAGTGTTTCACTCAGTTTTCATTGTGAGTACTGCAACACCCTGGACAGCTCCACCCCATAATTCTCTTAACAACATTCAATTATTAGCAATAGCAAACTTTCCTTAACTGCAATTGCATTCCTACCAAAAACTCAAAGTGTGTGTGAGTCATTCCAGGTGACTTAGTTAAAAGCAAACGACATAAGTCATTTAATAACTAGTAGAAAATAAAGATTAATATCAGTACTATCTTGGTCTGGGAAGACTTTTAAGGTTAGCCTTCAAGAAAGAATCCAGAAATTAACAGATTCATTCATTTCTTAATAATTTTAAACTCTAAAACCAAACAAACTAAATATGAGAAAGACAATTTCATGTCTTCTTTTTCAATCCTTATATATTTAATTCTGGTTTCTTGCTTTACTGTGCTAAGACTTCACCAAAATGTTGAAAATGAAGTAGTGTGGGGTATATGTTTGGTTTTTTACCTATCTCAAAAGAAATACTTTCACAATTTCCCCAATAATAATGATATTTGCAGTAATTTTTTGATTCTCTTTCCAAGATTAAGAAAGAATTTTTCTATTCCTAGTTTGCTCAGCGTTTGTTGCTGTTAAATCATTAATAGATCTTTTCTTAATTTAATTGAGATTCTCATTTAATGGTGTTTGTATGTATGTACACACTGTATATACACACATACTTATATACACAAACATACATAAATAATATGTAATATATATATACACATATACACACATACTTACATACATATACACATATATATCTGCATTTGGTTTGGTAACTTTGGGGTGATTTTGCATCCATATTCAAGTGTGAGTCTTGGTTTAAATTTTCTTTTCTTAAAGCATTCTTGTTAAGATTACTATCAAGTTTTCGCAAGCCATATAAATAGGAGAGGATACCTTCTTTTTCATTCTCTGGAATTTTTTATATAAGATTATACTTATCTCTTATTTGGTTTTTGGGTAGAACTCACTGATTAAGCCATCTGAGCCTGGATTTTCATTGTTAAGAAAAATCTAGTAATTCAATTAAATAGTAATTTGACTTCTTTGTGGTTATAGGATTATTCAAGCTTTTTGTTTCTTCTTGAGTAAGAACATAGTAAATAATATTTTGTAGTAATTTGCCCATTTCATTTACATTTTTTAAGTTATTAGCATAATGTTCAACATATTCTTTTATTCTCATTTTTGTGTCTAAAGAATCTATGGTTATAATAACCTTTTTATTCTAAATATTACATAATTGTGCTTTCTCTGTTACTTCTTTTTCTTGATCTCTTTTCACCCATTTCACTATTTTTCTAAGTTGTTTCAAAGTAACAACTTTGCTCATGCTTTGTATCATGTTATTTTCACGTTGTTAAAGTTATATTTCATTTATTACCTCCTCCTTCATGTACCTTTCCAATTATTTTACTGCACTTTTTCTAGTGTCTCTATACAGATGTCTACCTCATAAGTTTTGGGTTTCCTTATATGAGCATTTAAGTCTGAATTTCCTTCTAAGTACTGCTTTAGTTGCATCTTACAGGCTTGTTATTCAATATTTTTGTTATATTATAGTTGAAAATAATTTATAATTTTCATTGTAATTTCTTCTTGGCTGAATTGAGTATTTGATGTATATTTCCTAATTTTAAAATGTGTGGGATTTTTCCAGTTGTCTTTCTGACACTGATTTTTAACTCAATTTCATTGTGTCTGAGAACATAATCTGTATTACTTCAACTCTTTTAGAGCCTTTGCCATTTCTTTTAAAATTATACCAGTCAAAATATTCCCAGAATCTGAGCAATTACCATTATAAACTTTCTGAAATTTTTGAGTCTCTTATTTGAGAAATCAAACAAGAATAAAAATAAAGCAAATTATATTAGAAAGAAGATGAACCTTTGCACTTATATGAGACTAAAAGAGAACTCTTGATGGTATAAACTACCTTCTCCCCTGGGGTCACAGACACTCTCCAGATGCAGTGTGTATAAGAAGGGTAGCCATTTGGAAATCCTGGGGAGGAAAGGTTGCCATTGGATTCTTGTAGGGTTTCTCCACATGCTGAAAAGAAAAAAAGATACACGCATTCGATTTTTTTAAGAAGATGGCATCCATATTTCCTGAAAAAGATAAGATCTCATCTTTGATTTTTATGAAAGACATGGATATCATAAATAAAGCCTTGAGTCTTTTGGTGTTGGACAAGAGTATATATTTATATTTTACAAAGATTTTTTCTTCTAAGTAAATTTCTTTTTATGTCTCTCTTACCAGAATTTCAACATGTTTAATGGCATCACTAGGGCTAACCATAAAACAACATTATGAGATAAATAATCAGGCATTCACAAAATTCCTCCTCATCGATACATTTCTAATTCATTCCCAAAAGCCAGTAGCCAATGAATAGGTTACCCTTCCTCAGATTCAGGCCAGTGAGTACTTAGTTGATGGGGCTCTGGGACCATTTGAAATATTCCATTAAAATATTTGGTGTAAATTGAGGCTAAGTTTAACCGTGAATATCATATGAAAGTTGAAACAAAAGAAATCTTAAATAATAACTAAAATATAATCAATAAGGGGTACCAAAATGTCATACGCAATGAAAATTTTTCTTAAAATAAGCCAAAAACAATTGAGAGAGAAAAACATCATGCAAGCTTCAAAATTTCCAACAAGATGTGGACATTTATTTACTCTCTCATTTCTGTTGATCATAAGCAGAAATTGCTGGAAAAGCAATTATATTTTCCTCTTACTAAGCGTGTCTAATTTCTTGGAAGTAATTATCAGTCATCTGAAATAGCAAATTATCAGCTGCACAGCCTCAAGATCTGTGTGATTGATGTCTCTAGGGCCACTTCAACAAAGGCACAGACAGAGTGTAATTAGTGCATTGGTTCAGCCAAGGTTAGTGGTCAGAATCATTCTATAATGGGTTTTCCTGTTGCTTTTGTAAGACGTGATATGCACCGCATGAACCTAGGCTGGTTTAAGTATCCTTAATTCAGAATAATTCCTCTGCTGCAGCCGGTCATCGTTATAAACTTCACTCAACAATTTGAAGGAACAGTTCCTTCCCTCTGAAGGAGATTAAGTCAAATTGAGATGTTATCATAATATGGAGCCATAGCTGCCAGCAGGTGAACTCTCATCTCATCAAATCCTCAAAAAATTACAAATGGTTCTGCATATCTTGAGTTAAATGAAGAAAGAAAGATGATGACTTTGAAAACAAAACAGAGCTGTAAAAACAGTCTGATACTATATAAATATTTATTTAGAAACATAGATATGTTTGCACAACAAAATAAATTTAAAGTAGGAGTAAGCAATGTTTATTCTGATGAGTAGGCAGATAAAAGCAACTTTAGAACAAAATGAAAATGCTCAAGGTCAAAAATACATAATTCAGTACTTTCCAGGAAACATCTAGGGCGTTTGATAAATGTAACATTATAAGAACTCTTAGAAAAACAAAAATGTGTTAAGATTTTATTAATGCTAACAATGTGCTTCTAAATAGGATCAGTTTAGATGCAAAAATAATCATTTGTGAGTTGAATGTGTTTCAATGAAAAAATCTATAATTCTCAGCAGTTTAAAAATAAACTCTGCAATGATGGAAAACTACAATAAACCACATAGAATGCTGGTACTGGATTTCCTAAAGTGGAACCAAAATAATTAAATATATTTAATCCACAGATGTACATAAACAATACTGTTCTGATAAGATAAAAAAATCTATCTAAAATTAAAAAAAAAGAAACACAGCATATAATTCAAATATTAAATAAATCTATTCTATGGCACCTGTTTACAATGCAAGACATACAAATAGCTATAGTCAAGGTGTGGCAGTCGTTTGTGCATTTTCCTCAGTAAGTGTGGTTGTCCCAGGCTACCTGAACCCTACTACGGGAGATCCTTCATCACTTTTCGTGGCCAATTGTTGATTAAAGCTCAGAGAGAAAAAGTAAAGTTTATTACTAAAAGACCTAAAAGAAAATTGCAAGGAAAAAGTGGCACTACTAAATTTAAATGCACAGTCTGTCCATTTACTCAGCAAGGTATGTGAATGAGAAAACACAAGTTTGAATCATGGCATTACCACCTATTAATTATGCCATACAACTAAGTCTCAAAGCTTCAGCCTCAGTTTCTTTCCTGTAAAGTGGCTATCTTACTAACACATACTTATCAAAGTTGCTTCGTAGGGGTCAAATGTTATTATGCCCTGCGTCCTCTTTCTTTAACCCTCAGATATCTTTTCCACAGATAGAAAGAACGTTGTCTCAAGTGTCTCAATGTGTCCTTGAACTACAAAACTCAGTCATATTTAGGAGAAGAAAAATAAAGAAATATACAGAGGCAAATTATTATTATCACTATTGCAATCAAAATTACTGTAAAACAGAACACAATGCAGAAGTTAAACTACTACTTCTGTAGGAAGATGACATGATCTTATATGTATAAAACCATAAAGATTGCACCACACAAAAAAACTGTTAGAACTAATAAACAAATTCAGCAAAGTTGCAGGATACAAAATCAACACACAAAAATCATTTGGGTTTCTATACACCAACAACAAACAATTTCAAAAGGAAATTAAGTAAACAACCCCATTTATAATAGCAACAAAAAGAATAAAATACTTGAGAATAAACTTAACCAATGAGGCAAAAGATTTATATATTGAGAACTACAAAACATTGCTGAAAGAAGACACAAATCAACGAAAAGTCATCTCGTGTTCATTGATTGGAAGACTTAGTATTCTTAAAATACCCATGCTACTGAAAGCAATCTACAGATTCAACATAGTCCCTATCAAAATCCCAGTGGCATTTCCTGCAGAAATAGAAAAAACAAAATCCTAAAATTCATACAGAACCATAAAACCTGAATAGCCGAAACAATCTTAAGACAGAAGATGCTAGAGGCCTCACACTTCCTGACTTCAAAACATACTACAAAGCTACAGTAATCAAAATAGTTTGATATTGGCTTAAGAAAGGCATATAGACCAATGGAAGAGAAGAGAGAACCCCAAAATAATCTCACGCTTGTACAGTCAACTCATCTTCAACAAGGGTGCCCAGACTACACAATGCGGAAAAGACAGTCTCTTCAACAAATGGTGTTGGGGAAACTAGCTATAGATGCACACAAAAGAATGAAATTGGACCCTTATCTTATACCGTACACAAAAATCAATTCAAAATGAATTAAAGACTTAAAAATGTAAAACTTCTAGGAGAAAAAATATGTGAAAAGCTTCATGACAGTAGTCTTGGTGATGATTTCTTGGGTATGACACAAAAGCAAAGGCAATAAAAACAAAAATAGACAAGGCGGATGACATCAAACTAAAAAGCTTCTGCACAGCAAAGGAAGCAATCAAGGGAGTGAAAGGTAACTATCAGGAGGGAAGAAGATGTTTGCAAATCATATACCTCATAAAGAGTTAGTACCCAAAATACATAAATAACTCCTAAAAGTTAATAGCAGAAAACCAAATAACCCAATTTAAAAATGGGCAAAGGGGGACCAGCCCCGTGGCTGAGTGGTTAAGTTCGCGTGCTCCACTGCAGGTGGCCCAGTGTTTCATCGGTTCGAATCCTGGGTGCGGACATGGTACCATTCATCAAGCCATGCTGAGGCAGCGTCCCACATGCCACAACTAGAAGGACCCACAACTAAGAATATACAACTATGTACCAGGGGGTTTGGGGGAGGAAAAGGAAAAAAAATAAAATCTTATTAAAAAAATGGACAAAGGACTTGAATAGACATTTCTCCAAAGAAGACATATAAATGGCTAACAAGTATATGAAAAACTGCTCAGATCACTAATCATCAGGACAATGCAAATCAAAATGAAAATAAGATATCACCTCACACCTGTTAGGATAGTCACTAGCAAAAAAAGAAAAAAAAAAACAACAACAAAAACCACCCCAGGAAATAGCAAGTGTTAGCAATGATATGGAGAAATTGGAAGCTTTGTGCACCGCTGGTAGAAATGTAAAATGGTGCAGCCACTAAGGCAAACAGTGTGGAGTTTCCTCAAAAATTATAAATATAACTACTAGATGATCCAGCAATCCCACTTCTCATTATTTATTCAAAGTAACTGAAAACAGGATTTTTAAGAGATATTTGTACTCACGTGTTCATTGCAGCATTTTTCACAATAGCTAAGAGACAGAAACAACCTAAATGCCCAGAAGTGGATGAATGGATAAGTAAAATGTATACATACAATGGAATATTATTCAGCGTTAAAACAGAATAAAATCTGCCATATGCTACAACATAGATGACCTTTGAGGACATTATGCTAAGTGAAATAAGTTACAGAAGGACGAATAGCACATGATTCCACTTACAGGAGATTTCTAAAGCAGTCAAACTCATGGAAGTGGAAAGTAGAATGGTGGTTGCCAGGGGCTGGGGGAAGGGGGAAAAGAAGAGTCATTGTTCAGTGGTATTGAGTTCCAGTCATGCAAGATGAAAAAATTCCAGAAATCTGCTGTACAGCAATGTGCATATAGTTAACAATACTGTACTGTGCAATTAAAAATTTGTTAATCTCATTTTTGTTTTTTAACGAAATAAAAAATAATTAATAATAAAAAAGAAGTTAAGCTTCTAAATACTCTATCATATGATCCAGCTCACTTTTGAATCAGATAATTTGCATATATCTTCATTCTTCCAGAATATAAAATTGTTTTTAAATTGAATAAATGGTACTCGGACTGTGTGTTTTTGAGCAATTATTACAAACTCTTGTCCTTTTAATAACATGGCTATTAAATACCAAAGGTTGAGAACTTTCCTTTCTCCATATTTTATACGATCATATTTATAATTTTACTCATACTAAAGAAAACCTAGGTAGATATACAGAATAATTTGTATTAAATAAGTCTCTTCCCAAAAAGTCTTGACAAACTCTAGAGTGAGGAAAAAATAAAACTGTATCTAATCATCTTGTCCTACCTAGTTAACTTATTATTAATTAGATGGCTCCCTTAAACTTT